GCTTCGCCACACGACACAAGAATCTACTTTCCCGCACTTGTATCGTAATGTACTATTTCAATTCATCGAAGGTATTTTTTCGTACATTTCACATCGATGTTGAAATACCACAGCTGTGTAACAATCGATCGTCGAAACGTCACGCAGAAGTTCATTTTATAACATTTTATAACATACAACGAATAATTGAATGCTTTGTCCCATTCATGCAAATGTAACCCGAGAACACGTTTTTTTATAGGATTTCAATTAGTTTTTTAAAAATTAGAAAAATCTGTTAAAACGTTCCTGGTTAAAATATTTTTATAATTGATCAGTTGGAAAATGTATTATTTCGTAGGGATAATATTTAGCTGAGTGAAAATTCCTAGAATGTATGCTAAGTAATAAATCTGTGAGATATAGCAATTCAATATCACATTTCGAAGCAAATAGAAAATAATAATTAAATGTTGAATAGAATAGAGTTTACACAGATGTATCCAGATATAAGAGATGAATAAAATTCAAGATAAAATACTTTATTACAGAACCAAACTAATCTCTGCAAGTACAGTTTAATCTGAAGCACACTCGCAAGCAGACTTTAGTTAGAAAAAAAATGTCGCATGGAAAAGTAACCTTGTTCTTTATTTTACTCACGTTCGTTGCCTTTTGCGTAGCGGAAATATCTTCAAATTGGCAGGTACTCAATAAATTGTTAAAAGAAATCACTAAGAAATTCTGACTATTATAATTTTTCAGATACATGATAACGATATGTATTTTCTCTTCTCTTATGACGCCAAACTTCGCATGGCTATCAAAGAGGTACCGATTTGAATAGAAAATTATCTGTAAAAATCACTTTGTGGAATCGTAACTCTATGACGTTTTCTTTTCGAAGTAATGTAACTTTAGTACTGACAACCTCAACTGCCATAAATTATCTCTATGCCTTAATAATTCTCATTTACTTGTTACGAGTATCTTTATAGTAACGATGAATGAATATTTAAGTTTGTTATTTTCTAGAAAAACATAACCTGCAATAATTACGTCGATTTCTGTGATAATGAGTTTCCCAAGATTATGAACATATATGAACCAAATAATAGATTTGAATATCTACAAGTAAATAATTGCAAGGTAAGATTGTCATAAATTATTTTTACTTTATACTCATAGACACATAAAAAAGCCAAATAAGCAGTCTTGTGCTTTAAATTTATGAATAAATCATCAATTTTTATCATTACATACTGGCATTCAATTTTTACCACTGTAAATTATTTGGCATTTTCATTATAAACAAAATCATTATTGTAATGTAGGAGCAACAATATACATGCAGTGATTATTTTTCAGAGCCTTATCAAAAAATACGTCTGCTATTTTCATCTGTTTAAAGTGTGGTAAGATCTATTATGCTCTTATCTAATAAAATAAACATTGAAATGAAAACTAGATTCATGTCCACTCAAAAATCCAAATGAAAATAAAAATCGTAACCGCAAAACTAAATTAAGCGAAATCGAAAAATTGCTTTTTACTTTTTTAACTTACCGCCTTTACTATACTATAAAACATCCTCTTTTTTCCTTTAAAAAAAAAATAATGGTTAGATGTTGTGAAACTTTTAATTATGATTGCTACGGTTTCCTGTAGTCCTTTTGGTTTTGGTCAAGTAAAATAAGAGGTTATGTTTAACAGGGGAGCATGTGTTCAATTTATCACTTATCATTATTATATCCTATCTTAAAAAAGTGACAAGTCAACGACAGCCAGTATTGTGATTGATATTAAAAGCACGAAAATTTGAATTTTCGTATACTTATTTGTATTATATATCTAAGAGTATGAAACTCATATTACAGCAGTAAATTCAATTTATGAATAATTAAAGTGGATAATAATCTGCAAAAATAGAAATATACCGTGATAAAAAATCATTTTAAAAAAATAAGTAATTATCATTTCAAATTATACTGGAATAATTAGTAGGAATCAATAATTTGATTACCATCTGTGAAATGAAAAGTATCGTTTTCAAATAGAATTGGATGAAATTAAGTTTTTACATCGTCAAGAGAGGTATGCGGGAAACGGAAACTAATTATTAAAATATTAAATTGAAAAGAATGTTCGCTGATATTTTCAACGAGGAAACAAGAAAACATTCAATGTTGAAATTTATCACTAATAGTAATATAATACTAAGGCTATAGAAAAATACTGCTATTATTAAGTAAACTTATGGTTGTATGATATAAATAAAATAAAAATAACAAAAGAGCGCGTACTAAATAATGCTACACTGTAAAAATTACTTTTATAAAATCACTAGTCTGAGAGTTGGATGTGAAACGATTCTGAGAACAGTGAAATCTCGATAATCTAGTAATTTTATAGTAACAATTACATTTACTGCTCACATTTTTGTAACTTGTACTTTATAATGTTTTAAATAATATCTATTAATTACACCATTGTATATATTTTTTCAAATGATAGTTTTGGTAGTAAGTTCTTAAATCAGCTTAAAATTAATAAGTACAATAAAGTATGCCAGTTTCTTCTAAACTTAAGTTTCTTTGAAGCTTCGTAACTTTTACTTTACTAAAAAATAAATACGCATGTGCGCACACCGAAATATCTAATAAGAATCAAAATATAGGCTCAGATTAAAAAAGTCATTTTTATAAATATCATATACTTATTGTATAAATTACGATAAAATCAAAGATCAATATTTGTCAATTGATGAGATTAAGATATGCAATGACTAATTTTAAGATATTTGTCAAACATGAAAAATATGCTAAACAGACATTCGATCTAAAATCATTTTAAATACTCAATTTTTTGTGAATTTCAGCAAACTTTTACGTTCAATCTAGAACTTGTTACAATTAGAAAAAATATTATTTTACACTTGTAAAAAAACGTTGAAAAATGCTAATAATTATGAAAGAAAATGAAGTTACTGTGATGAATCTATTGAAACACAGTGCCAATTTTTCTTAAATGTTAATACTTTTTCTGTTACTTTTTTCGAATGGCTTCTACTTTTATCTTCCAAGATATTCAAATAGTGAATTTGTAGAAACTCTAACAAACAAGCAACTTTCTTCGCCCATAGACGATTAAAGACGAAGTAAGATTGGATCATCATAATTTCTGCTTCTACAAAGGTTTCCACAGTATCGGCAAATTTGCCGTCTAAGAAAAGGGTGTATTTTTGTTGAGTAGAACAATTGATATTATTTTCGTTAGTGAGGGCTGAAAAATTTTATAATAATTCATGAAATTTATGATTTTTATCTTAAATACACAAGTTATACGTAAGTCTTGTCAAAATTGTTGGATAACTCTCTGTAAGTTATATTTTTTCGAACTAGAAATTCTAAAAAGTTGATTATATTGTAGCTTAACATGTAACGTAAAACATTGTAAAATATTGTAAGAAATTTTGTACTTTCACGTGCTGTCAGGAATAAATCATTAAAATTTTCATTAAAATAAGTGACTATAGTTTTGATTGAGGTAATAGTTTTTCCCTCTTCGGTATTATCTTCATCCAGACCTATAAAGACACTCAATGGAACTAATATTTGTTTTAAAATACGAATTAATAGCTAAAAAAGTTTGCTTTTTATAAATTGGTTTATAAATGAACTTTGTAAAAGCTCGTGCTTTTTTGTAAGAGTTTGGGTTGCGTTTTCAAAATGTTGTATGTGTTTAACAATAGTTTTTGAATATTTATGTTTGCTTTCAAATCTAAGGGTCCATAAATGTTATAAAGGCCCGTATATTCTTATGAGTTCTAAGTAGTGTACGAGAAAATTATACTTTAGCTTCATATCAATGTTTAGAAAACATTTGATTCTTAAATTCAAGTAACTATGCTTGACTGTAAAAGAGCTACTCGAACTTCAGGTAATGCGGGTTAACATGAAAGATTACCGACTTCTCTTAATTCTAAAACAATTTTCCATACATTATCTTGATATTTTTTAATCAAATCAACAATAGCAATAGGTAAAATTAGTAATAATCTTCTCAAACATTTAAACTTGTGCAAAATAATATATGTATGTATACATTAGTCAGTAATATTATCATTTTCCAAAATAGAAAGAAAATGGAAAAGAAACTTTTTCTTCGACATATATATTTTTTAATAATCATACATATTGCAAATGTTCAAATATCTTTCATTGTCAAAAAACTAACTTTATTTTGATCATTAGTTTATATTTACAAATTTTAGTACCCTATTAATTATGTTTAAGCGATGACACATTTAATAATTTGAAAAATCGTCTGTTATAGATCTGCATATTCGTATTAGTAATAATTAACTAAATAAAACAAAAAAAAACGTGTGCGCCTGGAAGCATTGAACGTAACTAAACCATACAATTTCTATTTATGATGCGATTGCGTATTGTAGCCTTGTGCAGCTCTAGGTTGATTAAAATTTATAGCAACAAGATTACAAATTATTTTCACGCTAGAGATCATTTTGAAATCTGTAATTTAGTATATAGAGCTCAATTAAGTAAAGTATTCTACATGCAGTAGGCTGAATTCAAAACCGCCAACAATCGTATCTTTAGACCAGAAACCGAGTTTCCGTTCGTCTACATTTGAATATATTATACCTTTTAAAAGGAGTCTTGATGAAACAAATTTAATTTAGCGATATCTAGCTGGATAAACATAAATCATCTGTAGAAATGGCGGAAGTAGTGATTAAAAGTTTAGAAAACGAAAAAAAGAATGTAATTTGTACCTTGAATATTCATTAAAAATTAAACACTGAATAAGTCTATTGTAATAAGAACTTGATAAACGGTTTAACTCTGATCGATCGCCCTGCTCAAGGAGACTCCAAGTTGAAAAATAAAAATAATTTTGAAATTGACCATATTTATTTCTTTATATATTTATAAAATACTTTTAGAAATTAAATAAAATTGACATCAAATTTCGTGCCATAGACTTCGATAAATATACGGAAAGATACATTCAACGGAATGATGCGAGGACCGTAATGTAGGATATGGCCGTCTTCAATATCTAAAATAATTCAAAACGTTAAAATAATAAATGAGCAATGTGCAGCAAAGCGTTAAACAGCATACTTTAGAATAGAGTTCATAGTTGATCTCCAATATCTCGCCTACATTCAACGAAACAGGCTTCGAACATCGTTGCATGCAAGTCAGAAGCAGCTTTTTGGTATGAAGAGGCATGGCATACCACTCATTACAGTAACTGTAGATGCGCAGCGGTTTGACAACGAAAAGCAGGAAAGGATTTGATGAAAAACTTACGTGGTAACGTAGAGATTACGTCCGTGGTCGAGAATCATTTGCCCCGGCCAGCAAAGAATGAAGAGATTTATAGCGAAGGCTACGAAAATTACGATGTACGGATAAACCCCCAGCAAACTACGTAGGTTGGCAAGTATCTAGAAAAGCCGATAATTGTGCAATTATTCAGCAACTAATTTAGCGATACCATTGCTGATAATTATCCGATTTAACCTACCGAACACGCAGTCAGAGGAATCATCGCAATAAACAATGTCATTATGAACAGGAAAGTCAAGGAAAAGGTAGCATTCACTGTCGACGTGAAGCTAGAAAATCATAAAAATACTGTTAATCTAGAACGTCAGTGATTTAGTGTTGACCAATCCAAACCCACTTTAAAGCTTTCTGATGAAGCTCAATCGTACGAATCATCCAATTATGCGAGTCACCATCCACGACTGTAAGCGGATTGTCGCAACTTATTGACCTCACGTTCTGTAAACGATATCTAAAAAAATATAAGAGAATACAATCACAATAACTCGCAGTCGCAACAAATAAAAATCAGCTTTACAGTATAAAAATGAATGTTTTTTTATTCTTTGCGCGACTCACGAGAAAACTATCTTGATTTTTCAACATACGTTAAAATGGCTTATATACGAATAACTAATGAGTATATAAGAAAGGTGTTATAAGTAAAAAACCCGAATCACTTGCACTTGTGAAAAGCGAGAACTTACCGAAGGATAGCATACAATGCGCAGCAATGTTGGGAGGAAACGATGTACATGCTTTCGATGCCTATGACGAGCGTGCACATTGCGATACACATGATGGCATCGCAAAAGAGTAGTTTGAAAAAATGCTCGTCTCGGTCAATGAAGAACTCGCCTTGCAGCAAGTAGACGTCTGGCCGTGGCTCGTCTAACGGATATATTCGATCCAATGTTTTCGGGATCAATGGCGGCAGAGACATCGATATACCAGCCGTCGAATAAAAAACTTATGAATCGATTAAGTCGGCGAACTTGACTATTACCATAAAAATAAATAACGCGATTAGCTACTGTATACTCACTAGCAATGTAAATAGTCAAGGCTCTGCCTCTTCGCGAATATTCGCACAGTATCTTTCTCTCGTTTTCATCCTGGATTGTCAGCCAATTATCCGCGATGCTTTCGCAAAGTACTCTCATCTAACAACAGTCGTGGCCGTCGGTTAATAATGACCTACCATCTCGACCTACCATCGAAGTACAAAGCATTCAACCTCCATTTCTGTTATAAACACCCCGAGCATCTTGAAACAAGTGTTCGTCGCGGTAAGGAACGCGAGCAGACTCAGCATCATTCTGTCCACATCCTCGTAATGCACTACCGCACTTATCAGCTACACGATAGTAAAACAAAATGATGTCCATTGTGAGTCAAAGGGGACTTATGAAGCAAATCAAGTTGATAACCTGCCTGTGGTATGGCGAGTATCACTATCATGCCCATGAAAAAGCTTTTTAGTATGATTTTAGATCTGGTTTGACTGTACGGCCAAAGGCCTATGATCATCAAAAACTTTTTGTTTAAACTCAAGTAATAATCTTCGAAGATATCCATACAGCCAACCCCAAGAGAGCGTCTTGCCAATCTAACAGCGTGGGCACGACTAATCATTTGGAAAGCAAAGCGCAAAGTGACGCCGCGCCCTCGCTATGTACAGTTGACTGTTGCTATACCCAAAACTTTTGCATATAGCTCCTTCCCTAGCTCGCCTTCGCAATAATCGCCAAACTTGTGACGAATTTTGTTTCTGCCATCACCGGAGGAATTTCAAAACGGAAACGAAAGTATGTAATTGTTCATTCGACTACGATCGAGTCGGTAAATCCATCAGCTAATCTATAGTCAACCCAACACATATTGTCAGGCACAATTAAAGGAAACAGTGTGCCCTTATGCCAAATTGCATCAGTTTCTTAAAGAGGCCGAATTTTGCGCTGTGTAATCTTATTGGCAAACCGGTACAGCTGCTTTTATGCTGTACTCTAACACTTTCTTGTGTGCAGCGAATGGAGAAAAACAAAATAATTGAGTGCGTTCATAAATACATAAGTAAGTTGGAATGTGGTTGAGCAAAAATATAGTGCATGTTAATATTTAATCGCAATGCTTTGTGACTGGCACTGAAATTTTCACACAAGCTAAATCGGCCAGCTCAACACCAAGTCGATATTTTATATAAATTATTGATGGAGTGCCAAGAACTTGAAATGTTTTCCACAGCACATTTTTAAATACGCAATGCAATGTCATGATTCATCGATGTCAAATCTTAATAGATAATCTGAAAATATTTCATTTACATTTTAATGTGATAAAGTAATAATTTCTCTTGTGTGGACGTTTGCGCCCAAGCGAAACAAGTGTGAAATTGCTTTTTCTAACTTTATTTTTCGATGCGACGTTAAAATACCTTGTTCGCTATCTTTTTATGTAACGTTAAAATACCTTTTAATAAAATTTAAACTTTCAATAGTTCAGATTTTACATTATAAGGCAATCATACGTGAACGTTCTCATTACATCGAAATGCAATCGAATTTAGACACATATTTTAGGAACTTCACAGATATCAAAGAAGATTTGATCATATGACATACACATTAAATTTAGACAAAAAATAAGTTTATAAGAACGAGCATTATACAATTTTTCGATTTAATCAACAGGTCTCTTAAAAACTAGAGCGGTTAAATATTAGAAACACTTCAAACTTCAGACATGAAAAAGAAATCTGCTAACCTCATCAATTACAATAATACCAGAGATACAGTAATACAATAATACCAATAGAGTAATATGAAAGTTAGACCAACTTGCGTACTTGAATTTCGGGATGTCGAACATTGCGTCATTCGTAACTGCTTCTACATTGGATTGAATATTGATAAAAGAAACGTTTGACTTTTATAAAAAAATTTAATTTAACTGATTACATGATCATCAAAAAAAATCATATTACAGGTGATCTAATTTCTTCTTTGATTTAGTAGTTTATAAGTAATGTCAGTAATATAAGTATAATCGCAATAACGAATATAACGAAAATAGAGGCTCAAGAGTTTAAATTGACTATAGTTCATGGCGATGAATCTACGAGTTGAAAGTTCATTCAATAATCATTCAAGAGTGTTCGTTAATATCACGGCAAAACCTTAAAATCCTATGTGTTTAAATTTAAACGTTTTAAGTGTGTAATTTTGACGTCACCCATAAGAAATACATTGTCGCTGAATTTAAACGTTTAGAAGTGTTTAAAATTGAGGACAACGTATTTCTTATTGGTGACGTCATATTAAACGTTTAAATTTAAACACATGGGTTTACCGTGTATAACGTCACTATACGCGCTGTCCTGTACTACTATATATACGTTCGCTCGAACTTTTTTCTACGAAGATATTTTTAATAACGCCGTTTGTATCAGTCGTACGAATAAGATGAATACTCACAGCGGTGTAGAAATGCTAAAAATTAACTGTATTTATTATTTGCTCTAACAGCAGTATAGTGTATGAAACATCGAATCAGATTATAATGCATATTATTATTATATTATGTTTTTGTTTCAATTTTTATCATAAGGACTATACAACGAATTCAAAATCCGACACAAACATTCAGTAATTGTTTGCAAAAATAAAATGTTGCATCTTAATGGAATAATGAAATGACTTCTATGAGGCTGATGTTTTTAACGATATAGATATTTTTACATGAATAAACGATACATTATTCATCTAAGATTGATGATTTGGCCAGAGATACTAAATAAGAAAGAAGGTTGGAATTCGGCTGTATCATGACGATTAAACTGTGAATTAAGTGAGGCAGCGAGATTCAGGTCGAATACCCGTGTCGCGTAGCAGGAGTGGGCTCGTGTTTTCTGGCATCCGGCAACCAGTCGCCGCAGCCTCGTTGCGCCGCAAGCATCGACACAGAGTACAGCTGTATTCTCGTTCGCGAAAATGGAGCGCTGGAGAGGTAAAGTGGCTGTGGTGACCGGAGCATCGGGTGGCATCGGCTTGGCCATTGCCAAAAGGCTGGTTCGCGAAGGACTGACCGTAGTCGGTTTCGCTCGCAGGATGGAAAAAATGCTGGTAAATCTTCGCTTCGCAGCGCAAGTCACTTGCTCGTCATTCAAATAGGAAAGCAGTCGGCGCGTGCAGTGCACTTCGCAGATCAGGAATCATTGTGTTTTCGTGCTGTACAGTGCACAATTGCTCTATCATACTTATTGACTTTTAATATGAAAATAGCTGCGCGTGAACGTTTGCTCCCTTGAATATACCGCTTCACGTATATATATATATATGTAAGCATCACCTAAATGGTTGATGCATTGGGTGAGGTATCCGGTAAGTAAAGATCAAATTCGAATACGATGAGTAGAAAGTCAAGATTACGAACTACAAACCAAGGATTCGGAAAAGGTTGAACAACAACCTTGTTTCTATCTTTGGTAAATTGCTGTTTTAAAAAGCGTCTATGTTCGCTGCTTTTACCCACAAATGAGGTTTTTATCAAAAACATTTTTATAAGTTCTCGTGACGTGATAGCGTGCGTTGCGTCAATAAGTGATCTGTTTTTTAATCTGACGTATTTTAAACGTTTTCAAAATGATAACAATCACAATAATTGCAATTAGGTTCATTAAGGAAAAATTTATTTTATTTTTACGTCTGAATTTATTTTGATTTTGTAAGAAACTCGACCAGATTTCCGATAGAGGAACAAGTTATCCAATAATAATATTTAATCTTTATTTTATAATGAAGTATTAAAAAAGATTAATTAACTTATCTATGTGACGTATTGTTGACGTCTTTCTGTCTTATCTCTTACATATAATTATTCGTATCTTATCTCTTCATCCAACATTGAATTTTTGGCTCCATTATGAAAATTGTAATTTTGTTTTCATTTTTTGATGCCTTTCTTACACATCCAAATTTGTGTCTAGATATTTTGAAGGATTTCTCAATGTAAAACGCGATTTTTCTAAATTCTAAGTACGTAGTTGCATTTCTCTCCAAAAATTACAAAAGAATATATATTAAGAATTATGAATATCCTATATCTAAATAAATAATTATTTAACAATAAAAGCTAATATTCCCTAAGAACTAATTAAGCAGTACCAAAAATGTAAAAAATAATCTAAATATCTGACGAGAAAAGTTTATTTTAATGTATTAATAGTTCCACAAATCAAACCACGAGAAGTCATGCTTTGGTTTTTTTTTACGATAGAAAAAAATCACCTTTCCAAAGCTTTCGAAACAATGGATGCTCATAATGGCTCATGCTAGTGAAATTATATTCGGATTCATATATTTCAAATCAAGTCGACCTGATAACAGTGTTAACGTATCAGACAATCATGTAATAATACACGCACACAGTATTTTTGAGCCATAAAATTGCTAAAAACAAGTGACGAAGGTGCAGGACAGAGATTAGCAAGAGATAATTAAGAGCACTTCTTATTATAATTTCAGAATGAAATGAAAGGCGTAGATGGTCCCGGAAAGTTTTTCGCTAGGTATTGCGATGTCTCCAAAGACAAGGACGTTGACGAAGCTTTTGAATATGTAAAGGAGACCTTCGAAACTGTCCACATTCTAGTTAATAACGCTGGTATTGCAAAAAAGCAAACTATCGAAGGTGACGTACGAACAATACCGAATATTATAAATAACAATAACTTGACAACGAAATTATATAATTTAAACTTTAATTAAACTTTATTGTACAATTACACGGCACCTTTGCCTTTCAAAACGGTTTGTAACACGTCCTCACTGGACAACGTTTAATCGATCTCTACGCTTCTGTTTTTTTTTTAATAAAAAAAAATTATTCAACTAAACGTCGGTTTTGAAAGCAACGATTTAGAATACTAACAATGAGTAAATGATCAAAACTAGCGAATTATTAAATATTTTCCATGACACGAAGATAATCCGGATCAAAGTTTAATCTGCAATTTTCCAATGATTTAGGATCTGACATGAAGGATATACAAGAGGTTATCAATGTTAATCTCATGGGTGTGGTATGCTGCGCGAAACACGCCATAAAACTGATGAAAGAAAAAGACCACGAAGGCCTTATCATCAATATAAATAGGTATTGAACATTTTACTTTCAAATTTATGATAATAAGTTTTTCCGGCGAAAGCTTCTTGTTTTTTATGGTAATTGATTATAAAGCACTTTTTATCCATAATGGTTTGTTTGCAGTACTGCAGGTCACAAAGTGCCAAACATCATGCTTCCAGATGGCTCGAGAGTAAATTTGAACGTTTATTCACCCACCAAGTATGCTGTTACCGCGGTCTCAGAAGTTTTGTCCAACGAACTACTGGGCAGTAAAATCCGCGTTTCGGTAAGAGATTTAATAATAATAATAATAATAATAATAATAATAATAATAATAATAATAATAATAATCCGGGTGACTTTGTCGTCGCGGGAGACATGAACGCGAGAGCGGTCGAGTGGGGTATGACAACGACGGACAAACGAGGAAGACTGCTTCTGGAAATGGCCGCAAGGCTTGATCTGGTAGTGGTCAACCAAGGGACGACAACGACCTATAGACGACCGGGCTTCGGATACTCAATACCCGATGTGACGATGACGTCAGACAGGATCTCGTCGCGGATAAGAGGATGGCGGGTGACCGAGGACTATACAGCCAGCGATCATCAGCACATCGTCTTTGAGGTGACAAATCAATCGACGAACATACGAAACGGACAAACTAGAGACAGGACTTCAACGTATTGGAACTTACGACGACAAGATAGAGAGCTGTTTGACAAACTGCTAAGGGAGGCACCGTTACCCGCCGAGTCTGTCCCGGCAGAGCTTGGTCTGCGGGAGCGTGCCGAATGGATAACGGACAAGACAACGGAACTGATAACGGAACTGTGCGACGCCACGATGACTCGACGCAAGGGCCGAACACACAAACGAGCAATGTACTGGTGGACGGACGAGATTGGCCTCCTCCGTGGAGAATGCATTGCCTGCCGCCGGAGGATGAACCGCGCACGGAAAAAGAGCAGACCAGACGCGGACGAACTATCGACAGCGTACAAGATGGCACGTAAGAGACTGACCACTAAAATAAAGGACAGTAAAAACCGATGCGCTAGACAGTTGTGTGAAGAAGTGGAGCGGGACCCCTGGGGACTTGGCTACAAGATTGTGACCAAGAAATTGGGGGCCCTTGGCCCTTCTGAACCAAAAGACAAAGACACCATGAAAGCAATAGTAGATGGACTTTTCCCAAACCAACCAGAGACGGAAGAAATGACGAACGAACAAGAGACGACAGTGCCAGAGTTTGTCGGGGCAGAGCTTATTAAGGCTGTGTCCACGATCAAGCCTGGTAAGGCACCCGGACCAGACGGTATACCGGGAGAGATCCTCCAGCAGATCGTGAGCGTACGTCCAGGACTCCTCCTGGATAAGTATAACGCGGTCTTACGTGCGGGCATCTTTCCCAGACGATGGAAGACTGCTAGACTGGTTCTCCTGCATAAAGGAAAAGGAGAGCCGAATAGTCCGTCTTCCTATAGACCCCTGAGTCTTCTAGACACAGCGGGTAAACTTTACGAAGCGTTATTGAAACCAAGACTGACGAACGCGGTAACTGCAAACGGAGGACTTGCAGGAAACCAGTACGGATTCAGACGGGGCTGCTCAACTATAGGGGCGATTCGACAAGTGACCGACGCCTTTCGGCGGACGAGGCTCGTGTGCTACGGAGCGAGGCCAATAGTACTTCTCGCGACTCTTGATGTCAGGAATGCCTTCAACTCCGCTCGGTGGGGGGATATTCTGGAGGCCCTACAAACTTTCAGGGTTCCCGAATACCTGATGCGGGTGATGAGGGAGTACCTACACGACAGATGGATTCGATACGAGACGACCGACAGAACAGTGACCAGACGAATCACAGCAGGAGTCGCCCAAGGCTCAATCCTTGGACCCGACTTCTGGAACATACTGTACGACGCACTACTAAGACTACCGATGCCACCGGGGGTGGAGCTGGTTGCCTACGCCGATGATGTGGCTGTGGTGATAATAGCCCGTACCCCGGAGCTGGCGCAAATGCTTCTGAACCGCGCGATGTTACGAATCAATAGATGGATGACTGAACGCGGACTTAGCCTTGCCCTGGCCAAGACAGAACTCATCCTTCTGACGGGAAGCAGGATTAATACCCTGATTCCCATGACAGTCGGAGAGGTATCGCTGCGGACCAGTGGGGCGGTCGAGTATCTGGGGGTGACCCTAGATACGAAGATGACCTTCTGGCCGCACATACAACAGACAGCGAGGAAGGCGGCAGAGAGGACTTCCGCTCTCAGTCGTCTTATGGCAAATACATTTGGACCGAGACAATGGAAGAGACGACTACTGATGACAACGACCCACTCGATCATGCTCTACGGGGCGGAGGTGTGGGCCGACGCGTTGGGGGTCAAGAAATACTGCAAACGACTGACAAACGTACAAAGACAGGGAGCACTGAGGATAGCCTGCGCCTACAGGACAGTCTCGGCTGAGGCTGTCCTGGTGGTGGCGGGGGTTATCCCGATAAACATGCTCGCCAGAGAGCGGAAACGCGTGTACGAACGAAACAGCGACATGACCAGAACGGAAGCTGCCCAGGACGAAAGAACTAGGACGATGACGGACTGGAACAAACAATGGAGGATGAGCACGAACGGAGCATGGACTAGACGACTCATTGACGACCTGAGACCGTGGACGGAGAGGCAATTTGGGGAAGTGAATTTTTACCTGACCCAGTTTCTTACCGGCCACGGGTATTTCAGGAAATATCTGTTTGACAGAAACAAAGTTAACAGCGCCGACTGTAAATACTGTGGATACAAATGTGATGACGCAGAGCATACATTTTTCAAATGCTCACACTGGAACGACGAAAGGCAAAGACTGGAGACGACGCTTGGAAACATCACGCCCAACAACATTGTGGCAAAGATGCTACAAGACAAAGACTACTGGACGGTAACGGCAACGTACGTTGAGACTATCCTACGAGGGAAAAAGGCGGACGGTTGCCTGGAAGTCGAGTGTTAGACGAGAAGAATGCGGGAGTAAATGGTATGAACAAATGGATGAATGTGAATAAACGGACGTAACGAAACGATACAGGACCCGTGGACAACGAGAGGACTTGACGGGGTTCTCCAGCGGGAAGTAATGCTTACGCGGTTCCCCGCTGGAGAATGGTGTAGGTGGACTTTACTACTCTTCCCCGGATGGTTTACCCTCCGGTTGAAGAGAAGCGGGATTTGGGCGGTCAGCTGGTCTTCGACGACCCGGAGGCTCCTTGCGTTCGATTGATAGATCGCTTGAAACAGCCCGGTCTGAGAGGATCAGCGAGTCACGTCACACGGCGGGTGGGAGAGTGTAGGTGGGTAGCTTCGGTGAACTGCCGTCACACTCCAACCGTTATGGTCCATGAGGATTTATCCTGTTTTTTTACCACCATAAAAAAAAAAAAAAAAAAAAAAATAATAATAATAATAATAATAATAATAATAATAATAATAATAATAATAATAATAATAATAATAATAATGATCCTTTTATCCAAATGACATTTTTTATTAAAACTAACTAGGAAATTGAAACATAGTTCCATCATTTTGTAATGCAAAAAATTGCACTGAATCTGACAAACTATTTTTGTCTTTGTGTAATCATTGAAAATTTTGAAAATATTTTTCCTTCTTTCAGAGTCTCAGCCCGGGATATGTAAAGACCGATATCGGAGGTGCTGAAGTACATTCTATAAAGAATGAAAATCCGCTTGCAGCTTTAGATGTAGAAGACATCGCTGATGCTGTTGTGTACATTGTTGGAACCCCTCAGCACGTTCAAATTGCTGAACTAACAATAAAGTCGCCGGGAGATATCTTAATATGAAAAATATTATGGACTGATCGTGTTATTTATAAAAATTTTACAAGTGGAATTTACAACGTTTCTTTATACTGAAAGGAGGATCATGTATTTTTTTTAATATGTACTTAATACTACTAATTCAATTATAATTATAGACTTTCTTTAAATTCTACAGAATTTTACATTCGAAGACAGCTAGTATAAAATAGTATAACATAGTATACTATACTATATTATATATACATATTATATACTATACTATAATAGATATGTATGTATGTATATACGTACGTGTGTGTGTGTGTGTGTGTGTGTGTGTGTGTGTGTGTGTGTGTGTGTGTGTGTGTGTGTGTGTGTGTGTGTGTGTGTGTGTGTGTGTTACTATATATACTAAAATGCAAATTTGATTTTAATAAAAGAATGAACTTATTTTACGTTTCTTTTTTTATTCAACTTTTTCATTCAAATTTTCAATTTTCGTCTGTTTTTAAATGTCGTGTATACTAGCTGTCTTCGAATGTAAAATTGATGTTTTAACTCATTTATGCTTCACACACGATTCAGGTATACGTAAAGTAGTTCTATATTTGAATGCCCTTTCTTGGCATATTATTATCATTTAAATTGACCGAGCGATGTCTCATTTTAAAACTACTTTCATCAGCTATTGAATAAGCCTTTATAATTTTAATCAAACGTTACAGCAGCTTGTGCATAGTAGTCCCACATTTGGTTCGTCGACCTTAGTACAAATTACCCAGGTCAATATGATATTTCTCCAAGAGTAATGTATCCCGAAGAATTTCGGTGCACTGAACACGAATATGTTCTTGAAATCGCTCTATCACGTCACACTTTCGAAAAATCTTAACTTAAAAGTGCAAAAATACGTTTTTTGGCTATATTTGAGCTTTTATTACATTACGAGAAAAAATTTTTTTTTAAAACGACTCATACCATCTAAAAGTACAACTCTTACCATTCAAAATCCATTTTTCAGGTTAGAAATATCTTTTTTTCATTGAAATATCGTCAATTAAAGTTAAGTATTAGTGGTATCTTAACATTGCACGCACACGTCATTGTTTTATCGATAAGCCTGTTATCCTGTTTATCTAACCCTTAAATGTCCTTTAATTAACCTCTATATGACCATATAGGGTCAAGCAAATGATATATTCAAATTCATCGATTCTTAAAATAGATATCTAATTTTTGTCAGATTTTTATTTGATCAACAGCGATTTGACCTTCGAAATCCTTGAACTTGACGTGAGAGGTTAAAAGACCTAGGATTCATGATCAGCGATTCAAAGAACCCTCATGTTTATAATGTCACCTGCAAGATCTGGTGTATCGACTTAGATAAAACAAATGAAGTATATGTGCGATGTTAAGATACCACTAAAGTACTTAACTTCAATTGACGATATCTCGATGAAAAAAAGATATTCCAAATCTGAAAAATGGATTTTGAAGAGTAAGAGTTATACTTTTAGATGGTGTGAGTAGTTTTAAAATAAAAAATTTTTCTGGTGATGTAGTAAAAGCGTAAATATAGCCATAAAACGTGTTTTTTGCACTTTTAAGTTAAGATATCTCGAAAGTGAGACGTGATAGAGGAATTTCGAGGCCGGATTTGTGTTCAGCGCATAAAAATCCTTTAGGATACATTACTGGTATTCTTGGAGTAAAAAGTCTTATTTTGTAGACCTGTATTATTATTTCATCTTATGTAGTTTAATTATTTATAACAGAAATTTCAAGATGAAATGTCATACAAGCATAATTTTATATCAAATCCAAATGACTATATTGAACAGTAATTTGTGCTTTGCACCAACCGTAGAATCGAAAGTATGACGGTTTGTAGGAATCCTATAATATAATGCTTTGCAGTAACGATAAAACCTAGATATGTGTGTGTGTGTGTCTACGTGAGTGTATATGTATATGTACATATATTATAATTTTTTAGTATAAACTTTTCATACCAGTGTAGATAGCGAATTGAATTCACAAATTTTGAAAATTTTTTTTAAATTACAGAGAGATTTGAACTTTGAAACTTTTTTCAGTAAATAATATTATCATCTTTCTTTGAACTGCTGCTGATGCAATTTTTAAGTTAATGCTAACTATCGTAATAAAATTTTTCTTAAACATACATGATAGACATTAATTACAAGATTTTTCGTATACGCATGCAGTCATATCGTCCATTATCTAATAACATATTTCATTAATATAAAACTTTTCTTATTAATTATATTAGGAATATTCCCTCGGTATGGAAAGACACTAGTGCACTTCTGCGAAGGAAGACGCACAAGAAACGTGGTACAATTCGCATCGGAAAAGCTAGCATCAGCGCCCCTAGTGGCTAAAATCACAAGCCGTGAGAAGTTTCTAAACGAGTTGTGCATATGACCGTGTGCATTGCTTAGTTGTTTTTTTTAACTGTATGTATTTACGTAAATATCTATCTGCAATGTTGCTGTTTAATCATTTTCGTAAAAATCCAAATTTTTCGTATTATCTTTGTTGCAGAAGTCATTACGTACTTCATTTTTTCTAATGACTTTTAATGCACGTTCTGTGCATTTTCACAACTTTCACAACGTTCTGTGCGCTATTTTCTCTTTCTATTTGCTGCAATATAATCAGGATTTTGCTGAGATGGTAAATTTATTGAAGGAATAACTGTTTGCTTTAACCTTTTTATAGATCCTTTAATCGAAAAAAGGAATTTAGAAATTATAAGCTATATCTTAAATGAAATAAGTTTTGCGGTAATTATTTATTTACCACTTGTAAAAGTCATCGAGACTAAAATGCTTTGAACAAACTCTCCAATATTTGTTTAAAGCTATGATACTCAAAGCTTTATTCCAAGAACATTGCAAATTAATTAGTTAAATCAACAATTCTAAATATGTTTTTTAATAATATTTTTTAATAAATAATATTTCAAATAATTTTTGTATATGAAGAAAAAACGTAGAAACTTAATTTAGTGTTGACGCGTACTTACGATTGACAGTTTTTTACACAATAAGCAAAATTGCTTTTTCTTGGTAGCGTTCGACTTTTCTGTTTATAAGAAATGTTATTTTAAAACAATAATTTTCAATCTATTTATGCAAAAAATTACGTTACTGCAAATAACTGAGTAATCAACAATCGTCTTCTTACTTTCAGATGTAAAAATAAGCAGGAGGCCAGGAGCTTCTCGCGCGAACCTCTCTCCCGGCTTACGATTTCGATCACAAGGAGCGCTGATACTAGCTTTTCCAATCCCAATAAAGCCGTTAATAACCTCGATGTGTATCGTATGAAAGAACGTGAAGAACGGGAGGGGAACGGCTGGGGAACGGAGCAACGCACATATACACAACGCCACACGTCAGAGTTGGTTGCTGTCGGGTTGCCGTTGTCGGCATCGCGCGATTTCCGCGCGCGCAAACCGCGCCCTGCATCCATCTCATCACCCGTTTATCAACTCTACTAACTAACCGGCCGACAAAAGGCAAGTAAAAATATTCAGCCGTATACCTGTATATATATTGATATATCTCAGCCTAAAATATACTTGAATTTCTGTACAATATAACCCCACTCTCTCTAGTTTACTATAGCCTTCTCTCTTGCAGCTTTGTTGTCACTTTGAAAACTCGCAGCTGACTCAGGCCAAGAACCGCTACAGTTAAAAGGTATACGCCTCGGTTAGTCAATGATGCATTGAATCTTCAACATGAGTGTTTCGAGGAGGGTCACCTGGAGCTGGCTGCTTCTGTGGCTGCTTGCTTTGGCCGCAGGTCAGCAAAGCATCGGATGCTTCAAGAGTTCCCCAAACGATCCCGACTTGCCTGTTCTCGTCGCTAAAAGGGTTGGCTCGCCCGAAGAATGCATCAGAGAATGCAAGGCTCGGTACTTTATGTGAGCATCGATTTTTTTTTATTATTATATTGCTATTCAGAAGAGCATAACAAGTGTATATTATTGTTATAGGAACGTTGTAATATTTACAACATATACAATGAATTATTTGTTTGTTTATTTGATGAAGTTGCTTTAAATTCATATTTGAGCTGTATGGTGTAGCTATAAGTCACATTGTCAAATTGTACTTGATTAGTCACTTAAACAGGCTATTTACCTTACTTTAAACCAATTTAAAACTAATGTTGAAAAAATTACGATTAACATATGTGACTTACTTTATGGATTGGATGTGTAGTTTCTCATTTCTGTGCAGATAGTTCATAATTAAACATACTATGTTAGGGTTCATTTAATTTGATTTTGAGTTAACTTTAAAATAATAGTTAACAGTTATTATATATCAATCATAATTTCTAGATTCTCTGGATTGATGAATGGCCATCAGTGTTATTGTGGTAGTCATTATGGCAAAAATGGGCCATCCGACGAGTGTAAAGATCCATGCATAGATGATTCCTCAATAACTTGTGGTTCTAATGATGCCATAAATGTCTACTCAACTGGTCAAAAAGGTAAAGAGATAATTTTTATAGTGTAATATTGAAGTTTTTGTTCAACATTTGGATTATTCTAAATTTGATTTTAGGACCAAGTCCTCCAAGACGAGTATCAGTGAGCAAGTATGGCCAGGATTTTTTAAAAGTAATTTGGCAGTTGCCTGATGTACCTAATGGGAAAATAGTGTCATATACTTTGAAGGCTTCAGCTTTAGAAACCAAATCCCTATATCCGTTGGCTCCAATAGAGGCAGAAGTTCAGGGAGAATCTGCTAATTCAACAACTATCTTAGGCCTACACCCTGGTACCAAGTACAATATAACAATTTTCGCAACTAACACTCAAGGGTCTAGCGACGAGGCTTACACTATTGACTGGACGCGTATCGGACCTCCAAATAAACCTAATCCTCCCAAAATTATTACTAAAGGCGAGAACACTATTACCATTGAAATTCCTCCTGGAACCAGTGAAAATGGACCTATTACTTACTACCACGTTATAGTGGTCCAATCTGGTACAGTACCACCAACGGGAAGTGACGTTGTTTATGATAATTACGACAGGGCCAGTAAAGAAGGTTTAGGATATTACATTACTGGTAAATTTGATATTTCGGATTATGCACATTACAAGAGGTTTGTCGTTGGTGATGGTCGGATGATTGGCGGCTACTACAATGCACCACTAGAAAAAAACCAGCGGCAACCACAGGTTCGGATGATAGTTTTTATAATGCTCTTAATATCAAAAAGTAAGCTTTTAAAAGAATTATTCTATTATTATTATTTTTAGATTGGTATTGCTCTCGAATCGAGGGTTCGGGGCGAAGTACAATACAGTTATTCTAATTTGGCGAATGGAATGCATAAATTGGCAACTAGCGATAGTCAAGATATGAATTTCAGTGCAGCCAACACCATTCTCTGGGTTCTTATAGTATTATTAGCTATGCTATTATTAGCCTCGATGTTAATTTTTGTGTTACTTCGTAAAAAGTTTGAAAAGGTATGATCGAGCTTGGACATGCTGTAAAAGGATTGAATATAAAAGTTAGAAAAACTATTTGTTGTTGTAGGTGCGAATGCAGAGGCTACCAGAGCAACAAGAATTGACACTCCAAGGACCTGTTTTTGAAGTTGATAATACAGCTTATATTCCCGAAGATATTCCTGAAAGAACGAATCATTATGAAGAATTGAAAAACAGAGTTTGGAGCATACCACGGAATTTTTTGAATTTCGATACCGATTCCATACGTTGTGGTCGTTTTTGGACAGTACATATGGGTACTGTGCAGAGAGATGGAATTCCGGTTGCGGTTGCGGTTCATAAAATATTAGATACTCAGTTGAGAGGCTCTGAAAAGAGGTATTTTGAAGACTGACAAAGTTTTATTTAACTCTACCTACTTTTCATTTTTTCAATAATTTAAAATAAAGATTTTCTAATGAACAAAAATAATATAGTTAATTAATAATCTAAAGCTATTTATTAATTAGTAGACTATTTGTCTTTCTAAGAAACATTTATTTTTAATGATGACTGTATCTACAAATAAAAACAAAATAAAACTATGAATTACGTTTGTATTAATTAAACGTAATAATAGTCAAATGAATTAATTAACAAAAATTCTTTACAGGAAAATGCTACGCGAGTTGGACATCTGCATTAAAGCAGGCAATTCTAAATATCTAGCTGGTCTAGTAGGTAATTGTGAGATTCCTCACACACTATTTGTTGCATTGGAAATGCCACCGCAGAATCTCAAAACTCGGCTAATAGCAGCAAGATCAGGCGAAAATTTCCCTCATGACCAAATGCTGAAGATAGGCGCAGGTGTTGCTGAAGCTTTAAGACACCTCGAAAGTCTTAAAATCGTACACACCTGCGTATGTGCTAGAAGCGTTGGTTTGAATAACGATTGGACACCCAAGCTCATGGGCCATGGTAAATTATTTGTTTGTAATATCTCAAAAGACTGTGACCTTATACATTTTATTTATTCGAAAATTAGTAAATTAAATATTATTTAAAAATAGTTTTTCACTAAAAAAATATAAAACTAGTTGGTTAGAACTTTGGAACCACATTTTACGAATCTTAATATTATAATAATTTCTTGTCTGTTTAGGCCTATCAAAGAATGCACTCAAAGCTGTTAAATACGCTCGTTGGACAGCAATTGAGTGCTTCAACAATCAGACAAAGCATCAGCCAGGAGTAGTTTGGGCTTACGGTGTGTTACTTTGGGAGATATTCAGCTTGGGAGGTACACCCTATTCCAATGTCCTAATGGATAGCGATGTCGAGGATTTGGTTAACGCTGGTCTAAGACTTCATCAGCTCATGCACATACCCGACTCCCTGTATGAGGTAATGAGCTCTTGTTGGCTCGTTGATCCGCTTGAAAGGCCGACCTTTGATGAGCTTGTGAGATTGGTAAAGGATCTTTCTTTGATGAATTCTATAACTCAATTTCCACTCTACGTCAATTACATGTTTTACAGGATACGTTGTCTATTTGTCCTGTTGCATCGATAACGGAACCGTACCTACAAGAACTGGAGTTGAATAATTAAAAGCTAATATTTTGCTTCCATATCAGAGATTAATGAAGGAATGAGTTACTTGTACTTAATGATGCGATTGTACTTGCATTTAATTTCTCGATATTCGTTTAGGATAATACTCTAATTTGGATGCAGCAATATGCCTATATAGTTACCCAGCCACTTAATACTACAGCGAAATTACATTTTTACAATATTTCGCTTGGCGTGAACGTTTTATTATGCATTTAAAGAACTTTATAGAAGTTTTTTTACTAAGCACTACACAGTATTCAAATAATCTCCATTTTAATGAGCCATTCTAATGAGAGAAAATTTTCGATGACACTGTTTCCGTCCATTTTTATACTAAATAAGCCATATATTAAGAAATTTAAATTTAATCTAGTTGTAAGATTTTTAAAGATACTGAAAGCGTATTTCATCAAACGAAATAAATAATTTTTATAGACTGATTATATATCACGACGAATCGTACTCTGAAAAATATATTAAAATCAAATTATTCATTAGAGTATTTATATTTAATTACGAGATACTTTTTACACATCTTATATTTATGAAACTGCTGACGCTTCCTGAGAAAGAAAATTGATATTTCTGCCTTACTCGAATAGTATATTTATGATATACTTTCAGACATATTTGTATTTGTCACAAACACAGGAAGGGAAAATAAATAAACGAGAAATAATTAAGAAATATAATTGCTATATTCAAAATTAATTAATATCGTCGATGCCTTACATCTTCGTGACTAAGTCACAAGAGTACAAAAACAACAAAATGTAATAATAATAATTATTATAATAATAATATTGATAAAACGTGAGCATTTTCTATTCAAATTAAATAAATAATATGGTCGAAACTCGTACTACTTCCTATACATATATATAAATATATATAATATACTTTGGCATGTCAACTGAACTGAGAAAACCGTCGGTAAATTTGTAAGCTTACGAAAGCGTCGAAGCAGCTACATTATACATTTTTGTAAATAGAATCTAAGAGACGGACGTGCAGTAATACGTGTAAATAGCGCACATAAACATTTATACAATGATAAAATACAATAGTATTATTTGCATAAACGCGTCGTTCTTACATCTTGTCTCTTACCCTCAGCTTTCTTTGGTTAGTTAATTGACTCTGTGTGTTTTTGGCTAAATATAAATAAATAGATAAAACTAGTACTTTGGCGTACACGTCGATGTCCTATACAAAAGTGTGAAAAGGCCGTGCGATTGCGAGTAAATTGATATGTACAAGGAGAGAAGGTGTCACACTCGAGTCTCTGGCACGGTCTCACTCCGAGCAGTGTCACCGTGTGTCGCTAGACTCAAGTGCAAGCTCGGGCTCAGGTAGGCTGCGACGACAGCTTGCTCGAGTGCGAGTTTATCGGCCTCGGCTGGGCCGAGAGCACTGCCTTGGACTTTTGAAGTCTCCGGGGGCAGAGCAACTGCTTGTAGGCCTCCCTGTAGAGCTTGTTGGTCCCGGCGTAGATGAAAGGATTGACGACGGCGGACGCCCAAGCGAGCAGCGACGCGAGCACTGTGAGCGAGGGGATGCGCATCTGGTCATCGACCACGTTGGCCAGCATAAGCGGCAGGAAGCAGAGCAGGAAGCCCACGAAGATGATGAGCATGAGGCGAGTGACTCGCGAGTCCTCTCGTCGCTGGAAGCCCGGCTTCTTCCGGCGGTTGGTCGCCACGGAGCTGTGCGCCTCGAGGTTCTTGCGACTCGAGCGCACCTTCCAGTAGATGCACAGGTACGACACGATGATTACTATACACGGCACGAGAAATCCCACCACGAACAGAAGTTTCTTGGGGCTTCTGCCGTGCTTCTTGAGTATCGTGCAGGAGAAGGTGGCCTCGTCAAGGCCCAGGCGGCCCCATACTCCGAGCAGCGGCGGCACCAGCAGCGAGAAGCTGATTGTCCAAATCGCTATCAGCATCAGCGTTATGCCGCGATTCGTGTATATTTTGCTGTAGATCTCGGCGCGTGAGATCAGCACGTACCTGCGAACCGAGACACATGCGAGCGGCGTTCATGAGAAGACGCCACCACTAGTATTCCCAGCACCGGGCGCGCTCTTGAAAAGTGACGGCTCGGGCCGTTGAAATTTACGAGGAGAAAGAGCTTTCTCTGGCGCGCATCACTCGAGTGCGCGGCACTCGAGAGTCGAGCGAGCGCGTAGGTGTGTGGCGCACACGCGCGCCGTCTCTCCCGTGCCGATAACGCGCCGAAGAACGCGTGATTCACTAGTGCCGCGAGTCTTTCTTTCCTTCTTTTCTTTCACCGACACTCTTTCTTTCCCCTCGCTCGGCCGTCTAGAATCGCACACGCTAAATTCCTCGAGACATTGTCGGTTCGAGTACTCATCAAAGCAATAACCCAAGATCTACTCGACTTCCGACGGAGCCAGACTGATTCGGACTGCGAGTCGTACGCGAGAAAAGACAACTCACCTATTAATCGTGATGGCGACCATGCTCAGCAGCGAGACAGCCACGTTGCCGTAGAAAAACAACGGGAACACCTGGCACAAGGCGTCCCCGAGGATCCAGCGCTCGTGCAGATACCTGCTGGCAGTGAGAGGCATGTTGACCGCGCAGAAGATCAGGTCCGAGACGCTCAAGCTTATGACGAAGGCTGTGGTTGCGTGCCGCCTCAACCGCGTGAAGCGCAACAACGCTATCACTGTTACCAAGTTGCCTGCACCGGATACAAAATAAAAAACAGCCATACGTCAGATCGAAACAATGTTCAATGGGACCCTTTGTTAGTGCCGCGATTTTTTTTCCGGGGCTCCCGTCTGCTATCATTTTTTTTTTACGGACGACTTTCATGGGTTTATTTTCGAGACCAGCCTCTTTTTCCTATCCTCGCAGTACGTCGTTTTAACGGTACGCAAGCCTGGCTGTAAAATTAACTCGACTCGCTTAGCTTCGAGCGCGTGGATTTGGACTTGTGATCTCGCTCTTGCGCGCGGAGTTTTTCGCTTGTACGAAGTACACTTTGCGAAGGTGTATTTGATCTGGTGACCCTGCCATTATCCAAAAGCAAACGTTTATCCGAAGCTTCATATTTGCTTGCTCGCGACGACTTTCCCAGAGGTTTCTTTACTTTATCGAGATTAAACTGACATTTTTCAAGTACGACGCCAGCTGGGAAGGAACAAATCACGGGAGGCTCAAGAAAGCTACCTCGGAGATCATACATGCATCAAAATCTAATAGAGCCCGAGCGATGATTGAATAAAAGCTCGTTAGCGCGCCTGTCGGGCTAATCGAAGGAATTCCGCCCACGCGACTCGAGGCGTCGCGAGGATGACGTTAACGACTCGCTCGGCCTGTTTCTCGACACTTTTTTTCTAAGTCTGTTGTTTACTTCGCTCCTCGGATACTTTCTTCCCGGCTGTTGACGCTTCACTCCGCTCGTTGAACGTAGCATGGAACAAGTGGATAGTCTACAATAAAATTGTGATGTCATCGATTCAGGAGGCGAATCAGAGGAGATCCCACTGCTTAATTCGAAGACTCGCAAATGCAGTCGATGATCTAGTTTTCTCCTAATTATTCTGCCGATAGCTATATAAAAAATTAATTTATGCGTCTTGCGCAAAGTAACGCAGAGCTCGCCTCTGTACGCATATGCAAAATCGGCCCGAAAATTACGAATGAGTAGCTGTCGCCGGGCAAACCAATCGGCCGACATATGCTCGACTGAAACTTTAGAAACTGTTGCGTGCCCATAGCATTGACTGCTAATCGGGGGCACGCGATTCAAAACTCACACGGGTGATCGTCAGCTTACCGAAGGGGGATAAAGAGAGGTCACTTTGATCAATCGCCAGCGACGAAATCAATGAATTTACTTAGGGGAGGGAGCTCAATGAATTCGCTAAATGTGGATAGAGAAGGAAGAAGAAGAAATAGGGCGCTGCTTCTTCCTGTTTCTCCAATTGAGCCGCCCGTCTTTTTTTCTTTCTTTCTTTTTTTCCTTTCTTCTCGCCACAAGCGAATCTCATTAAGCTTATTTAGCCGCTCGCTGCGGCTTTAATTACGTGACGCCATCGCGGTAATATCAATTCCAGTTGACGCCAGCGTTTGCGCCCGATGCGATGCTCCAGATGCGTGATTTTTTTTTTCCTCTTCTCTCACTCACTCGCGCTCGCCTGACAATAGTTGCTTTGTTTTTCCGTTTTATTTTATTTTTTTTTCGAATTTCCGGCAAAACGAGGCTCTTCGTGTTTTCGGCGCATTTGGCATTGAATTACCGCTCGGTATAAAGTACGCGTCGCGTTATCTTATAGAGACTACTTGCGCGCGGAGTAATCAATGATAAAGAAAAACGTAAACGCGCCAGCAACGAGAAAGACGAAAGGTTATTGAAATAAGCGAACGCAAACTGAAGCAATGGAATGAAACGGTCAGCAGGAATTTTCCTTCTCTTATCATCCAGTCGAGATCGAACGGCGAACGACGTGCGAATCAACACCTACATCGTATAATGCGAAAATGATGATCGAAGAAGAAGAAGGGAGGTGCGTGGCGAAATGAAAAAGGTCCTATTAATAGTCGTTCGGGCGCTCGCGGTGACATAGTTCATGGCGCGATGCTATTTTATTAAAATAGAAGGCCTATCTAATCGAGGGCCTCTGACTCTGTGTACGCACCTACTCTCGCATATTATGGGAGCGCCTCCGAACATGATCCCTCTGCTAATCGGCAAATTAAGCCACCGCGCGTACTACCAAGTTGCGTTGCACACTTCTGCGCCAGTGAATAAAAAAAAAAGAAAAAGGATGAGTCGTTAGTTCAATTGATGTCGTCAGTCGATCGCGACCTCACCGAGATTCAATCGACTTTTCATTTTCAATTACGTTGTCATAGTTGTCTGCTGTTTTCGTATGTGATTTGTAGCTTGGACAAGTGAAAGATATATTTCAGCAATATATCACTTTCATCACCATTTGCCATTCACCGTATTTCGATTTTTCACTCTCAAAACTAAAATTATGAGTAATCGAAATTCACAGTCGATGATTCGCAGTTCTAGTGAAAGTAATAGAATATAAGACATTCTTTACAAAAGAATTTTTGAATAACAGCAAACGCGCTCCTCGAAAATTATGCAGTAAAAAATAAGTCGTCCAAGCCGAATAACAAGAGAACAATTAGAAGAATCGCGGACACTTGCAAAAAAGAACAGAGAAGCAATGAGTAGTAGCGGTATGAAGTGTCGTTACCGAGAACGCCGACGATGCTGAAAATGATGGCACAGACCGCGGCGAAGATGGTGAGCGGCCGTGGAAAATGCACCATCTGCTCGTGATGATCCATCGTCAATCCCATCGTACCATTTACCATTGTTCGCTACTCTGATTTTTGGTTTTGTCTATTGCTCGATTCGTTGCTTTGGTATGCTGTGTTTCCTTCATCACCTGTCGCACATTTTGCTGCTCGCTGCCAACAGAAAAACAGTCAATGATAATGGTTGGTTTGTTCTCACGCCAGATCGCGGAAACTACAAACTCCTTGTGCCGGAGATATTTATATAGATCTAGTTTCGACTGTATCGCAATGCTCGACAGAATTATAGGCGTCTGAAGTGTTCGCAAAGCTCAAAGGAAAATATCTTGGAACAACACGATTTTTCTTGAAATTAGAAATTTGTCTTTTTAAATAACACGTAAGGTCTTGCCAAAATTGAAAAGATCTGCGTTGACACGAAGTATTTGACGGAATGCAGATTTTACGATATATTCTCAACATACCGAAAGGGAATAAAATATTAAGTCAGTTCGAGATTCTTTTCCCGGAGAATTTATATTTACATATATGACATTCAGAACTTATAACTTTATAAAAAACGTGCACGTAATGTTGAAGAATGTTTTAAAGAGTCAACGATAACGTAATTGAGAATCAACTAGAACAGTTATAAAGTAGTTGAACGATCAAATTAGGAGTCACATAAATGCGCATCGTGGAATTCAGTAATTTCTAGACAAGGCAATATCCGAGAATAAACCGTATAAAAACAAAAACAAACCTAACGAGGACCCAAAGAGCAACAGAAAAAGGAAGAGATGGAGGAGGCTTATTTGGAGCGCGAGACGTGACGGTGGCATCGTGCCGATATCCTCATTGTCGCCGTGATTCAATAATATTGGGACGACGGCGAGGGGGGAAGCCCAATTAGTCGGCCTGTTTTCGAGGCAAGTGCGCGCTACGCGGCCCCCGGATCACGGGCTCGATGCCGCGCGCAATTACAAGCGCTTCCGGAGCCGCGATATGACTCGTATCGGGGGCCTTTAAATTTTCAATCGGGTCGACGATTTTTTTTACAAAGACGACCGAGTCACAATAAAATCAGGCAGAAATTGGCAGTTGGACGTTTGCTCGCGATACGACGTGGCGGTTCGATCATCGTCGGTGCGCGAAAGCTAGTAAATACAATCGAAAAGCTCCGTCTTGTTTGTGCACGCAACAGAGTTCGTGTGCCTACAATCGTCATCGGGTAACAATGGTGTTTGTATTGGCTGTTCTTTTGTAATGCGGTCGGCCCAAATGGACGCCGCCGCCGCAAGATAATGAGGAAGGGACACACATGCTTTTCAACTCAATGGATGGTTTTTCAAATTCATTCGTTTCTCTCTCTCTCTCTCTTTCTCTCTCTCTCTTCTTATTTCCGTCGCCTTCAGTCGCGCTCAGTGCCCGTCGTCTAAAAATAATGGCGTTTTAACATAGCATTTTTTTCCTTCGTCGGCATCGTCGTCGGCCGCCTCGTGTAATCAATGACTGGATTAAATCTTCTATTTTCAATCGCGTACAAAAATAAGATAGTATTTGTTGTGAACCACGCAACGAACAAATTATTCTTCTAGAAAAAGAAGGTAAAATTAAGATGTAAAAGTCAGAGCTTTGCGTACTGTAGTATTATTTTCATGCGTATTGGCGATAGATTGATATAATATCGACACATATCGATCGGTAAGTGTCAATATTCTTCGTGTTATTGTCACCGGGCACACTAATAAATATTACATCATCCCAACATGCGATAAAAGTGACGAGCAAACCGAAATTGCGATTAATATAATGTAACATTAATTTCCTCAAGTTTACATATTCGTCAACTTGCAAACGTCGTCCGTTTGTTTATACAGGCAAAAAGCATAAAATAGTTCGTTAATAACGCTGACGAGCATGGTTACAGTGACCTTGCGATGTAACAGTACATCGGCAATCGGCGGTCGCTAATTGAGATGTCTCGATGAGCGAGGAATGAGCCGTCGGCTGGTGTCGCAGTCCGCCAGCCCGCGAAACAAAACGAGTCGAGGGGCCACGCGCGTTCCGCGCAGCATCTGCCGGGCAGATTTCGCGCGCTTGCGGGAACCTGTTTTTCGCGTGTGGGAAACGTCGGCATGCGAACGGTGCAAATTAGTCACACGGAGATATGGTCGCGGTCGGCGGGCTGAGATGTAAACGCGACAATCGACCGATAAGACTATCAGGCCGACTATATATTCGTCGGGCTTGACTTATTAATCGGCCCATCGACTTAATCAATTTTGGCATTTCGCCTCTCCGCCCGCGACAGACTCATCTTGTGCCACGGCAAATTGCTTTTCGTCTTTCCTTTTCCTTTAATTTTCAAAGTGACGCGCCGTGCATTAGGCAAACGAGCGTTTCGTCTGTCCTAGCACGCGACTACGTCGTATCATCGTGGCGTGTGACAATCGATCAAAAGGTCGCGTATTCATCGAAACGCTTCCGGCTCGTTCTCTCATTGAATAGCCACTCGCGACGCGCGAACAAAATCGTATACCTACGATACATGAACGGAACGAAGTTGGCGCTGACGGAGACGAGGATTCGCTCGCTCTCGTCGAAAGTCAATCGCGCGCTCGCGAGAGATTTTTCATCGCGACTTGTCGATACGAGAAAATTGCGCGATAGCTCTCCGATGGATGGGAAGTGCGTGGCGCGGCCGCACGGCGATTAGCGGCAAATGATAGCCTTGCCGCGCTTCTATATTCTCTCTCTCGCTCTTGACAAGCTGCGCTCGTCACAAAAAAAAAAAAAATAAATAACTGACTTTAAACACTCGCGCGATGAAAAATTCTTTATTCGCTTCGCCTCGCGGAGAGGAATTCTTGAAAGAAGGGGGCGACGTATTATTATCGACTCGCTTAGCATACATTAACATTCGAATATATCGCCTTCGTTCGATGGCACACACTCGCTTCTTTTTCTCTTCCTTGCTTGTCACTCAATGCACATTGCACTGTATACGATAATACATTAGTAGAGCACACTTTACCAGCAGACACGTCGCAGCCACGGCGTCGACAAGACACACGCTTGCCGGGCAAAAGTAAGGAACTGACTTGCGCGGAAACGAAAATAAAAGAAAGAACGGATAGACGACGAAGAGAAAAAAACGTCACTCCGGGCGCCTCATGGTCTCGACGTACGAGAGGTTCGCTCGCACGCGGCCGCACGCCGACTGAACCTGCGACGCGCGTAGAGCCGACATACTCGCCCCACAGCTGAAGCTGCTCCGCGCGCATATACACGTCGTCGTGGCCGTGAGTCACGTATGAGCGCGCGGGTCCACGACGACAAGCAAGGGTTTCGTGCGCGAGCGCGTCGGGGTTTTTCTCGCGCGCGGGAGTAATCCGGTCCGCACCGAAGAAGTAAGCGAGGAAAAATAAAAAATAAAAAAAAAACACAAAACGCTTGTTTCTATTTTTAACTCGCGCACTCCGCGGGAACTTTCGTAGACGGGCTTATCTTATCGCGCGAGTTCATCGGGCCAAACGGGATTCCCAGATTTTCAGTTCCTTCTGCACTGGCAATTGTTCAAGTGGTTCGCCCGGCAGACGAGGGAATAAGTCACCCGGCGCGTGCTCCGGGAAGACGTGAATCAATTCTTTGATCAATGACAAAACGCGCTAAATCTGATAAAGCGCGCGCGCGCGTCTACGTCACGTTTTTTGGACAGCGACCGATCGCCAATACTCATCACGTCCGATCAAACCGGCCACGCAGCTCGCTGGGCATATTAAAAGGAGGATTGTCGATCGGACGCGCGACGTATGAAAGAGGCCAACTTCCTCTTGGCAGCGGCGACTCGGATCCGAGAAGAAAGAAAATCACGCCGCGATTTCGCGCGAAAGGCGCAGCCCCGTAGTTCGAGCCATTGTGCCGAGGAAACAGCTGCGCCGAAGAGAACAAATAACGCGGCCCGAATGCCAACTGCCGTTGCACTCTCGGGGTTGCTTTTTCCGTGTTTGCTCGCGCTTTCGGGTAATCAAGGGAGGAGCTGTCGCCGAGTTGGATCGCATCCTGCTGCGTGCTTCTTCGCTATTTATTCGTGTACGGATGATGCGCCGCCGGGGAATGTACGCAGTTCTAATGCTCTATCAAAACTTGTCGAGTAATCGGTAAAAACTGTTTAGGCCATCCATTGGAAACGCCAACATCTCCAAGTTCATGTTGATAATGAACTACAACGAATACTTTATTTTCGGCAAAACTCTCTTCAATTTCGGTCGGTTTTTGCGCCTTTCATTAAAAGAAAATACATAAATCCTAGTCAAAAATACCGAGCACGTTGTTCCATGTTAAGACTTCGAGACTTTTGAAAATTATCATTTGTCAAATAACTTAAACACGGCAACATAATTGCCATGGATGAAAAATTCTCAAAGGAGCGCAGTCGAGAGATGCAGGTGTATTATTGTTGACGCGCGGCCAACAAGGCGAACCCTCGTCATATTCCCTCTCTCGCCTTCTTTTCTATTCGACCTACGTCGCTCGCCGTGACACTAGTACGAAGTTGTACTCGGCTCTGCTATTCGCCGAATCGTTGACGTGCGCGGAGCAGCATCACCGTCGCAAGGAGCGAGAGCCAATCGATACCGAGCCGAGCGCCGTCGCGTGAGTCACGTCGCGCACCGAGGGGAGAGTGCGTTATCCGCCGAGATTCACCCGCGCGACGGAGATCGATTGGTGCGTTACAATGGTTCGTCGATTCATTTTAAAGTCGACAGGCACGGCCTCGTTAGGCTGCGAACATCTGCTCGAACGCTCTAATTGGGCTCGCGTGCAGTCGCTTCCAAATCGGCTTACAGTGTGCGCTGCCGACATTGTCGCAGTGGATATTGAATCGCAGCTCGCGCGAGCTTTGCACGCGATTAACGCCGCGCGTTAGGGCTCCAATTAGCGCGCAGCGAGCGCCTCGTAGTCGTAGGTTGAAGCGCGCGTGCGCTGCCGACCACTCGGGAGCCGGTCATCGGAGAAAGAAAAGGAACGAGCGGAGTGAAAAAAAAAAAGGAGCCGTTATCGAGGTCGGCGGGGGCCGGATGAGTAGCCACACTCATCGCGCGAGCGATAGCAGGAGCCGCGCATAGCCGAGGCATGCGCCGCCGATAAGCCGTATCCTCGTTTCGCGCTAAAACGCGCTTTGCGCGTGTGCCTTCGGTCCGCTTTGTTGCTCCCCCCCCCCCCCCGCCCCACAGCGGACCGTGATTTCTCGCCTCTTGTTCGCCGATCGCGGATTAGCTTTGGCTTTGTTTTCTGTGCAATCTACTCGCTCACCGACTTCGCGGATAAAGCGGCGCTTATTATGAAGCTACGCCACATGATTCATCGCCGTTATTCCGAACGGCAAATTAACGCCAACAGAAATTCACCGCGATCGTCCTTCGGCTCGAGCTAATTGTTTCACTGGTTCCGGATTTTTTCGACTCCTTGAAAAGAAAACAACTCTACTTTTTGTAAAACCGTCGATAACAAACGATGCCTATGTGCTGTAAACAAATATCAATGAACTTTCGAAAATATTATGAATGGAACTCTGGACACTTTAATAGTATTTTGAAGTATCTTTTGCTGAGCGTCTGAGTACTTGAAAATGTTTAGTCAACAGTAAGCGATTAGAATTATTTATTCGTTATTGAAATGAACATCATCAGTATTATTGACATGACCGCAGCAGAATCAGGCGATCGTCGAATTAAATTTGCAACGAACGTCAATGGAATAATTAAAAGAACTCGACCGGCAGAAAATTCCAACCTTCATATGTTTTTGAAATTCAATTCATGAAGAGTCGCACCATAGGTACTAGTTAGTAACATCAATTCCATTACTCGACTGGTCGAACACCTTACAAGAAATTGTCTTGATCAAACTTTTCGTTTCAACTCATATTATTTGCTCAACGTTGAATAGATTTCAAATGTATATGACTGTGCAGGTTAAATTAACGTAAGTATAAATAAATACGGAGTCGGATACAGCATAACATGTATTTTTAATCCTTTTGAAATCAGTAGTGCCACAGTAAGATATAACATACACACGAACGAAATAAACTCTTAAAACCGCTTGCATTTCAATTTTTGTTATTTTTTTTTAACACACGATCAAAGTTTCATAATTTTATTGAAAAAATTTTTTTTTAAAGTGAAGGATTACAATATAATTTTTCTAGTTATATTCAGTATTCTAGAATATTTATCTATAGTAAATAAAATATCTAACAAACGAATACCAACTTTAATGCATTGATAGTTCAAGTCTATTCAGATAAAAAAAGCTTTTCCAGCTGTGGTGTTTTCAAGGAATGTGGCAAAATTATAATTACATTATTTAAAGCTCCTTTACAAAGTAGTATTACAATTTGTTTATCTTGAATTTCTATTTGGTCTTTTATTTCTTTTAACTGGCGGATAATTATTACAGTTATGTGCCGTAAGTTTGAAAACCAATTAACTTAATAAAATTTTCCGAAACGTTGATATGAAAACCAAAAGAAAACAATTAATCAGTCTGATAAAGTTAAAAAACGCAAAATCATTTTTTTGAATCTAGAAGTACAATTCAAATTTATTAAACAAGATTGATTTTCTCAATTTTAAAGTTAACAATTTTTAACTGCAAGGAATGAAATTACACAGATATAAGTTACAATTATAAATTCGCGTGGGATGACGTAATCCTACATAGGCACGACAGAAAAAGAAATACTTGAAGTGAAAAAACGTAAGTACCTTGCAGATTTCTTCATCCATATCCCAATCTTTCGGAAAACGTTACACAGTCTCCAGTTATGTTTGAAATACAAATAACTTTATCGGCATCACCGGGTTCTTGACGGAACTTTTTCAACTTGAATGGCTGCTGGCCGTTTTGAGTAGTGTTGACCGCTATGGATTTCATGTACTTTTGGCATCGATTTATCGTCACTCTTTCGATCTACAAAAATTAATTTTGTTTAATGAAGATTAATATTGCTACTTTTTTGAATTTTTGTGAATAAAAATGCACAAACATTCAGGATTTTGAATATAAATAATATATGGATATATAAATCCATATATTATCCAAAAGCCATTCTTTTAAAATTCTATGTAATACAAGTAACTTTTCCAAAAAGAAGGCTAACTTCAACTTTATTTTTTGTAATTACTCATAAAATTATGCTTTAATCAAGTCAATAACGAACGAAACAATTTCGGAATACATATCCTTTTAAATGAATTCACCCTATTGCAATCAGTTTAATGGTTCCTGGAATGTACGCATACATATATAAAAAATTTAATGCAGAACCTCCTCCTTTTTGAAGTCGGCGAATAGTTGTACGCTTATTAAATGCTACTCACGTCTTGGATCTCATTTTGTCTGACGTATATCCTCATTTGACAATACTCACATCGGGTTCACCTTCGCTCGATTACTATGGCAGTTTATTAACTAAACATATTAAACTTTTTCATGCAGGCATCCTGTGGACAGTATTCACGAATAACATTTGACATACTTTTTTCTACAAGCGAATCTTGTGAACGTTACTGTGAGCTTTCTTATTTTGTATAATATATACGGGGGGTATGAATACTATAATAAAAAAGAAATGTAATGGAGATTAATATTATTGTTAGGATTAAAATTACTATCTAAGTAGGATCATTTTGTAATTACTGATTAATGAGTACACATTTGAATAACTAGAAAATTAAAAAATCCATGTAGATATTTTTTCATTATCGTTATATATTTTCGGTAAAAATAAATTGACGTTGTTTAAATAATTATTCGTTATAAGATAAAATAAGTAAAGAAATAAATAAAAAACAAATAAACAAAATAATCATATCAGTAATTCATCTTGACCAATCTTTTTCAAATTATGTATACATTTTTAGAAGATTTTCGTAAAAGGCACACAACGAGATTAGAATGCGATAAATGTAGTGGTCTCGCAAAAACCATCGGCTAATTTCCCCTACAATTTAACCAAAGTCTGAGTAGTATATATAATATAAGTTTCATATATCTCCGAAAAATGGCGGCGTCTAGATTACACTCCGTTTTTCCGTTTTTTCGCTAAATGGCAGTGTTGAAAAAGCAAAGGATAATAATAATTCCGCGAAATATGTTGAGAAAGAAAAAGTTCAATGAAGAGTAACATTGAACGCTCC